TAAATATTAATTGCAGTAATTAAATGCGGATAATTAATTTAAAACTATTTTGGTACCAGTTTGTTTAAAAATATATTATTTGATATGGTGAATAAAACTTTTGTCGAGATTAGATTAACTAATCATTATTAATATTAATATTAAAATAGGAATATTCTATAAATATTAATCTCAACACAACACACATGGTGCTTTTTGATGTTTATTTATCGCAAACAAAAAAAAAAATATACGTGACAAATAAACCAAAATCATTTTACAATTAATCCACAATTAATTGATCATAAATACAATACACACATACATACTAACTATCATACCACTTTTTTACTTTATATAACAGTCACATGTAGTCTACAGGATAATATTCTGCCGACGGAAGACTTACATTTTTAATAATTGCCGTATAAATATATCCTCGAAAAATAATTTGTCAATTCAAACAAAAATAGAAAATTCTTTTTGAGGTAAATATTTTTTAACAATGCCTATCTATATATTAGTCTTAGTATTAATTAATTAGTATTAGTATTTATTAATTAGTAACATCCGGATTTTTTTATTATTTATTATTATTACTATTTACTTCTGTTGATCTGTATAACCGTAACCCAAACACCAAAATTTTTTTTTTGTAAATTATGCTTAACTGAATGAATAATGATATCATCAGTATTAAAAAGAATTAATATCATCAAAGAATTCCCCTTACAACATAATGTTGCATTTTTTTCAAAAAACCGTTATTACGTCACAGAATCACACAGAAAATCATCACAAAATTTGGTAGAAAAAATTGTACAAAAATATGCCTTAGACTTACCAAAAGGTTACAAGGTAAAAAGTGGTGATTTTGTTACTATCAGACCTGAACATGTTATGACTCATGACAATACGGCTCCAGTGATCACAAAGTAAGAATTGTAAGAAAACAATTAATTTTCCAATTGTATATATTATTACTTGTCGCTGATTTAGATTTATAATTTTATAATGGATTTTTTTTTTAATTATAGATTCAAAAGTATCGGAGTAAACAACATCAAGTTTCCGAGGCAAACAGTTTTTACCCTTGATCATGATGTTCAAAATAAGTCAGAAAAGGTACACACACGCCCACACATATATATATATAATCACCATTAATTTTTTTTTTTTAATCCAAAAAAATATTTTCAAAAAGTGAATAAAAATAAATCCATTGAAAAATTTGCAAAATTAAATAATGTAGATTTTTATCCAGCAGGACGTGGAATTGGGCATCAAATTCTTATAGAAGAAGGTTATGCGTTTCCATATACAATGACAGTGGCATCTGATTCGCATTCAAACATGTATGGTGGTGTCGGTTGTTTAGGAACACCGATAGTTAGAACAGATGCTGCATCAATTTGGGCTACTGGTAAAACGTGGTGGCAGATTCCACCGGTTGTCAAGGTGGAGCTCAAGGGTACCCTTCCTAACGGAGTAACAGGGAAAGATGTTATTATATATATATGTGTGGGCGTGTGTGTACCTTTTCTGACTTATTTTGAACATCATGA